TTGCCTTTAAGCCGCAATGTAGCCTCAAACTCAACACATTGCCTCTAGGCCGCAATGTATTATCCAAACTCAACACATTGCCTCTAAGCCGCAATGTATTATCCAAACTCAACACATTGCTTCTAAGTCGCAATGTACTATCCAAATCAACACCTTGCCTCTAAACCGCAATGCATCCTTCAAACTCAAACACATATCCCCTGAGCCACAATGTATTCATGCTCAAAACATCGCCTCAGACGTCATGCAGCGATTCGCAAACGTAACCATGGCCTCAGTCTTCAAGCAGCCATGCATCATCAATCATTGCTATACACACCCTCCAAATGGGTGAATAAGCCAAGACATACAAAATTGCGCTCAGAGATTATCTGCCTCGTTATCAAACCCTGGTAAGCGATATATCATCAGCTTTTCCTACTTTCCCAAAGACTCATAAGGGTATGCTATATCAGTGTAACCTTATGTTTGTCGGACGAATTTTTGGATACTTCGAGTATTCAATAAACTTTCAATCAAAATGCACAAGACTCGAGTTTTCTCACGCTATTCGATTGAAAGATAATTAAATAGGGGCAACTGTCGTACCCCAAATTTGCTCTACCTTTATGATCACATCACTATGTGATTTTCAAGGTTAAAAATGAAAGAAAAATGTTTTAATTAAAGACGGTCCATCAATATCGGGTGGCCCATTTATAAGAATTCAAGTCAACAGAGGGGTATATCCTAATTCAAGGGAGTGAGGCTTTCTAAATCAGAAAGACCTAGATGCCCATAGGCCCATTCGTGAAACATGTTGGCCAATGGCCCATGGAATTCTAATAAGAGAGTCCATTTCAAAAATGGGGTAAGATTCAATAGGTAAAGCTTAAAAGGCCCATTAAGTTTTATTTGTTTTAGTAAAAGATGGGGTGTATATCTTATTAAGCCTATTTAATTCATTTTTGAAAATCATTCTATTTTGTATTATTTCAAGGAAAAAAACATTATTATTAAACATTGTCTTATTAATTATTTTTATAAACCATTTATTAAAAGACTAGTTTTACAAGGCACAAATTTTATGTTGGGTCCAATTTATTGCAAAGAAGCCCAATTCGGAGTATTACAATAAACAAAATAGTATGCTGGACCCATTTGTCATTTTTAGAGATTATATTATTGTTACTGTTTTATTTGAAGTATTATTATTAAAACATCACCTTTGTTTTATTTTATTACAATTATTAAATATTATTTAGGGATTTGTTTTATAAGTATTATGTTTGAAAATGTATTTTAAAGCCCAAAAGATTGGGCCCAGTCTGTATCAAGGTGATAATGTTGTTGCAATAAACAAAAAAAATGCTATTGGGCGGAAGATATTTTGCAATACAGTTTAAGGCCCAAAATTACAAGCGAATACTGTATCAATCAGGGGAAAGAAAAGTGCATGTTTCGTTGGACAAACACTTACTGTTTGAATCTAAAATCAAAACTTAATCAAATCTTCAGTAAAATCTTGTAATTTACAACAACAAATCTCAAGAAAATTACGCAGAATCTTTAAACTCAATCAAAACCAAAAAAATCTCATTACAAGTCCAAATCCAAAATTACTGAATTAAAAACAAATCTAACTTTATACAAAATAAAATCTCAGAAATTACACAAAGTGAATCAAATCTTACAATCTAATTACAAAACAAATCAAGAACAAATCAAATATTGCATATTGTAATGAATACTGAATCAATTACAGTAAGAAAGAAATCCCTAAATCACTAAAAAAACCTAAAAATACTAACTTATAAATACATAAATAATAGTACAGAAGAGGGGGTCGTTGAGAGGAAAAGAACAAGAGCGACGGCGATTGCTTGAAAGAAACAGAACGAGGATTGAGAGAGATTTTGGTGAGACGAACCCTTGCGTTGAAGATCCAAAGTGAGAGGCGATTAGAGTTTCCAGATCGGAAACCCTAATCACCCTTGAACCACCTCTAGCCACCGCTCTTCCGTCGTACACCACCATCAATCTTTGGAGCTACAACCGGAACCTGCAAACAGATGGAAAAGAAGAGAAAATCAATCCCAAATCGTAAAAGCTCAAGAATCAGAACGAGACGGTCGCAGAGTGGGTACAAATCCTTAGCTTTTCTTTTCTTTTGTTTTGGGATGCTTGGGGTTGGGGTTGCAATTTTGGGTTTGTGGGTGATAGCGCCGCCGGTAGTTTAAGACTAGGGTTTACAGGGAAAGAGAGGTACGACGCGCGCGCGCGCGAGAGAGAGAGAGAGAGAGAGAGAGAGAGAGAGAGAGAGAGAGAGAGAGAGAGAGAGAGAGAGAGAGAGAGAGAGAGAGAGAGAGAGAGAGAGAGAGAGAGAGAGAGAGAGAGAGAGAGAGAGAGAGAAACAAGACAAAGGGTGTGTATACTGTAACAAGAAGGTGAGGATAATTGTAAAAAATGAAAAACAAAACAAGTTATAATTCCGCTTCGATTCAATACCCGCGCACTCACTGTAGTTAACATGCACCTTAGATCCTATCCGCGCAATCATGATCGGACGGCCACAGGCCAAGTCCCCATCGTAGTTATATACACCCACGCCTCACACGATCAACAGGTCTCCTCCAACTGCGTGATGGGCCCAAGCTCAATCCGTTTCACACCCCTCATTTCTTGTTCAGAACTAGAGACGTACCCCCCTTCAGAATTTATATTTGGGTCTAGCCCAGCCTACTTTTAACACCCCCCTGTTTTGCTTGTTACTACAAAATACACCCCCCTGATCTAATTAATTATTTCCTATATTTTTTACAATTCTTATATTTTTAATCCTATTTATTTTTTTATTTTTTATTGCTTTTTATAATAATTATTATTACTATTAATATTATTTTTTGTTAATATTTTACATATTTATTATTTATATTATTATTTAATATCATATATAAATACTATGTATTTATCATGCAAATAAATTATTTTATTTAGAATTCATGAACATATTTTTTATATTATTGCATTAAATCTTTTTTTATCATGCATTAATCAAGATTTTTTGCAATTAATATTATTAAAAAACACAAACAAATCTCAAACTATTTTCGCGAATAAAACTAAGCTAATCAACAGTCTTTTTTGCAAATGGGTTTCAAACTAATTTTGGCTTACTTCGTTCTCAGTCAAAATCTCCGCAATCACTACTCCCGACCGAGTGCGAAGTGATTCAAAATATGTTTGCAAACCCCTAAAAGACACCAACTCATACGAACTACGAATTGGAACTATGATTCCTCATAAGAGGATACGTAGGCACGCGATCTAAAATCGTGGCGAGTCTTGCTAATTAAAATTTAAAACACTGTTTATTCCAAACCTAAACCTAGAGCTTAATATCCTTGTGAACAAGGTGGATGAAAGGTGCCTAACACCTTCCTATCGTCTAATTGAGTCCGAAACCTAGAATCTCTGTCCGCGAATTAGGATTTTCTGTTAGGTTCCCTTCCTTATGATAAAAACTAATAGTGACGACTCTTGATAAAAAAATCAGTTGCCACACTTCCACGCGTCTTTTTAAGAAAACAGATAAGACTAAAATACAGTTATCAGTCTTATTTCAAATTATCTCATTGGGCTCACTTTTGAACTAAGTTCCAAGATATTCTAACTCCTAGATAGTTATCACCCTGTAGGCATGAGACTCATTCACCAAATTTTAGTCGAAGTCTTTAGCAAAACTTCTTAGGAGAAGTCGACTAGCTTTCTTCAAAATATTTCCTTCAATTTTACTTGACATTTCAAATTCTCTTCAGCGTCGAAATTCTAGCTAATAGTATCTAAAAAAACTCATATGCTATGTACACATTACAACAAGACCAACCACATCATGGATGGTTGTTACTTCAAGAACTTGCTTCCCTTAGGATGTAGATAAGAGCACAAGCTTAACACTCCTAATCAACGATCATATTTCAAAGCTACTACCAACTTTGTGTTTACCTCATACAAGTGTGGATCCATTTCCAAGAAGACTACTAACATTTACTTAGTCTTCTTCAACAATCCAAGAGAGATGCTCAAAATTACAAAAGTGACATGCACTGACATGCAAGAACAAGTTATAAAAATAGCTCATGACATTCTGTTCATAAACTATTTTAAATATAACTTATAATTTATACATAAACAATTTAAATTGTTCTTGTATTTTGTTATGCATAAACACTTATCGAGATAAACGTTTATGTATACACTGCAAATAAGTCATCTATAATATAAGAAAAGAATAACCTCTGATTAAACCTGTTTTGCCCTTTGCTTCAAATTAAACATTGCATGATTAAACCTGTTTTTCAGGTATTTGCGTTTGTAAAAACAGACAATGCTTACTCACCCCATAGAGCAAAGTGTCATGTGTGTGAATGCTTATTGGAATTTTGCACCGAGGTCGAGGTAATAACATAACATATATTGCTTTTACTTCTTGCAAAAGGCAGTTCAAAAAATTAGGCTGCTTTTCGATTTCACATATTATTGAGTGTACAGAGAGTTGAACTTGAAACATACAGACAGAGTAAGCAAGTGATGCGAGTGTTTTTCTCTTTTGCATAACACATGATGTTATCATATGCAAAAATTGAATTAAGTCATCTTCAAGGGTGAGTAATATGAAACATTCACTTAGTTGGAAAAAACTCGAAGTTTGCAAGGGAAGAACCACTACAATTACTTGCAATCGCATCACAGATCGACAACAAAAATAAACCGGTCTCTAAACATAGCTCATATTATTAACTTATGTTCAGATAAATTATCATCAATAACCAACATTTACAACATTAAACATCTAGATGATCACACACCTGAACAAGATCGGCATCTCATCACAAGTGATTAGAGAAGACAATTTTGACCTCTGATTATAGTTTGGGGGCAGAATTATATTCTTCATAGAAGATCTAAAATTTTGAAGTTTCATCAAACATGGTTTGCCAAAATGTTATAAATTGTAACCTTCACTTTTGAATATAGTCTTTCAAGATATGATTCTTGTCCTCAAGGATTGTATTTCTTCGCCAATTAGCGACTGCTTTAGCGACTGTAACATTAGCATTACGAATCTCATCGGTAGAAAACTTATGCTCTGTGATTCCCAAAGGTCCAGGCTGTAGCACCTTAATAACAGTTTCTACATCTTTTTCAAGCTGCCTGTCACAAAATAAAAACAAGTCTTAATTACATAAGCAATAATAAACTTCCCTAGACCCTATTTTAACAAAATTGCTCTACATTTCACATTCTACCCGAACCATACATCCATTCGTTTTGATGTACTAGTTTCCTATGGAGTATACTCTTGTTTTAGAGAATAAAAAAGGAACTTTATAATAGTTGACACTGTAACACCGACACCTCTGAAAAAATATGTATTTGGGACTGTGTCAGACATTTACACACACCGACACTATACTTACATATAATTTATTTATTTTTTAAATTATTACCGATATCACCATGTCATGTTAGTGTCGTGTTTGGGATTTTCGTGCTTCATAGATAGTTGATGAAAATAAAAACGCTTGACATTTAATATTTGTCATGAAGTATAGTCTGCCCTTGGCTAACTTCCTATAAAGTTAACTTGTAAGGTGAAAATTGTCTTCACTTATAAAGACATACTCAGGTCAAATATTCAGGCCCTCGTGTGGAGATAAATGGTGGGTGGTCCGTTAGCAAAAACCTGATAGCATGTGACGCAACGGATTTTAAACTAGGTTCTGATACCATCTTAAGAATGGTGGTTGGACTTAACTCATGCTTATAAAATCGGCTTGTAAAAAAACGATTGCCTCAATTTATAAACACATATTGAGACCATATATTGTCTGACGTGAGACTCTTAACACTTGTCACATCCAGATCACACGGATGTCTGCACAGAATGCCACACTCCTCGCAGACGGTTTTAACCGGAAAGAAAGAGCGTCAATCGTAAGCATATGTTTAAGAAACATGCATCTATAGATGGTTACAATCATAAACATCAAACTCAATGTAATAAAAAATTAAATCTCAATCGAATGTAATAAAAATTCAAAATTAATAAAAAGAAATTTCGTAACCCTAACATTTAGTTCTAGGGAGAACAAAGAAATAGTGTTTAAACAAAAGAAAAATGAAAGAAACAACTAAGAGCGAGATGAAGTAGAGAAAGCAATGGTGAATTACCTAATTAGCCCAGAAAATGGCAACGAACTTCGAAACCCTGCAAGAGATAGCTTCATCCCTTCACTTCACTTCACACACTATTCGCAGAAATCAAATCCACGATGTTTCGGTCATACGCCGTCGTATTCACAGGAGGTTCACACAAGTGGGCTGGATATGGTTGGGGCTCGTGGGCTGCTGGCTTGCTGTATAAGATGACAAGGTTTGCACCTCTCAATTTTCATAATTTTATAAATACCCTTGGTTAGATGGAAAGAATTTTCCAAAGAAATTTTAAATACAGGTAGTAAAATTTCTGATACATAGGAAGTTTTTTATAGGACATAAATAAATTTTCGGTATTTTATAATTTTCGATAGTTCATATGAAATTTTTTGTATTTTAAAAATTTAAAAATTTAAAATTTATCAATCAGTATCAAAATTTTTAAATATATTGAAATTTCTGATAGCTCATTAATTTAATTTTTTAATGATCAAAATTTTGTCGACATCTTTGAAAGATTCTGATCACACCGACAAATTTATGTGATTTAAAATGCACCGTCACTTATATAAATATGAGCATATGTTATAGAGAAAGACATCTCAAAAAATACATCTTCCTCAATTTTTGATTAAGTCAGAAGTGTATTACAACCGAAACAACCATGTTGTTGAATTCAAGTTTTCAGATGGCACCATATCCCTTGCCACCTTAAAAGAAAAGTTTAATGAATTTCGGCCTGATACTGAAAACAGAGGGATGAGAAAGATCAAATTTTGAGAAGATTGGATTGATACAAATGGAAGGGTGAAATACAATCTGATTGAGTTGATGACTGGCGAAGATGTGAAGGTCACGTGGAAATCATTTCGGCGTAGGATAACCAAGGTTTCAATCGAGTTGGATGCGGAGTTAACAAGATTCGTCGACGACATAATGAAGATGCTGGAACGTCCAGAATCATCTGGTAGTGTCTAGGTTTTCATGTTTAGTTTTTTTAGTCTATGTTTGTTGTAATGTTTTATGCTATGTTCATCTTCTAATCGAAACATGTAATCGCAAAAATATTATGCAATAAATAAGAAGTCTATGTGTCACAAAATAAACATATAATACAATCAAAATATAACAGATCTACATACGCTCTCCACGGGCTACGTCCGCTAACCTAGCTAAACCTGTATAAATATCACCGCCAGGGTTTACCAAACTCATAAGGTTATCTAAATGAGGAGCAATAAACTGTAGTTGACTGTCCTGGTCACCTGCAGGTGGTTAAAATGGTGGTGGCGGCACGTCAAAAACCCTAGCACGTGAAGGCCCTGGAACATCAAAAAGCCTTGTCGGTGGTATGACCCGAGGGTGTGACATACTTTGATACCACTCCAGGTATCCATCCTCGCAATGTGAAGGATACTGAACAATAATTGTTGTATCCCTGATCTCACGGGAAGAACTGATGATGTGACTCTGAAACCATCTGTCAATGTCACCAGATGGAACCTCTAGAACTCCAGTAGATGAAAATAAAAAACAATACGCCTGACCTCCTCGGGCATCCCACCCTCTGGGAAGTTCTTCAACTTCGAACCATGGGATGCGACCTTCAGCATCAGACGCTCTTATATGAAGAAAAGTTAAAAAAATTATACTTTCAAACACTTGATATACGAGCCGTCATGATAAATTTGCAATAAAGAAAATAAAAAATATACCTCGTCTAGCCATATCTTGTATGCAACATGCTCAGAAAATCTTGTCAGCATGTACCTGTCTAAAAGTCCTTTTGGAAAGGCTCCATCAGTGTGAATTGATGGCTTTGTAGATGCACGAGTCCTAGCGTCTGTACCAGTGGGAGACACCTCATCAGCCTGCTCAACAACTGTCTCCATAAAAGCCTCCTCAGCAACCCCCTCATCCACAACAGCTCCTAAGCACCCATAACCTGCTCAACAACCAGCTCCACAACAACATGCTTAATCATAGGAGTAGGTGCGCCCACAAGATCATGTACCTACTCGGCAGTAGAAACTCTAGCAGTCTGCCATCAGGGTGCACAAAACTGCACATGTTGCTCAGCCATCTATTTCTGATGCGAATCGGTCATAGCATGTTGTCTTGCCCGTAGCTCGAAAGCTTGTGCCTCATTAGCCGGGGCCTGGGTTTCTGCTCTGTCAGTAAGCCTGCCTGCAACGCTGCCATTTTTCCCCTTTGTCCTCACTGAAACAAAGAATATAGGGAGAAAACATTAGGAAAAAAAATTAACTACCAGAAATTTAGAAACTTCCGGTATTTTTCAAAAAAAAATTAATTACCAGAAATTTCTGATACAGAAATTAAACACCCGGAAATGGTATAAAATGTAACAAAATAATCAGAAATTTCAAAAAAAATTGTACAAAATACCGAAAATTTCTAAATTTTCATGCTAATATACCATAAATTTTGAATAAATACCTTAAATTTCTTACTATTTTGCAAAATCTTCGGTATGTTATGGAAATCTCAGGTATCGCCCTGTGAATTTCAAATTTATGATGTGTTCTTGGAAATTTTGAAAGTTTGTGAAAAAATTTGGTTGGGCTATTTTGGTCTTTTCATACACTTTGGGGGGTTGCCAAGTTCAACTATGGGGGTATCAAGTTAAAACCTCAAGGATGATCATCGTCTAAGAGAATTCAACCTGCCACCCCTAAAATTAAACCTGACACCCCCATTTTTCTGTATTGACAAAATGCCTTTGTTGATATTTACCCTATAAAAATTCACATTTCTTAAAAAAAATCACTATGGACATGTAGTAAAAATGAAATTTTTGGTATTCATTTAATGCACTTACCGGAAATAGTGTATAAATCACAAAATTTACGAAGACGATTTTCCAATTTTTTTGGAATATCTGGTTTATGATAGAAACATACCAGTAATTTTTAAAGTTTCTGAGTAGTAACAAACTCATTCGAAATTTCCGATATACCACAAATTTTATAAATACTAGAAATTTCTTGTATGGATGTAGATAAAATTCTTTACTTGTGTGGTCCAGAATTGACAGCTTCTTCTACGGATTCCTGTACAGATTTTACAGAGTTCTTCACCACGGATGTCATATGTTTTCTATGCAATAAATGCTATATTTTCTTTTTTCGGGTTTCTGCACATATTTTATGGAGTTCTGCATAAAATATTTTAGTACTTTGGATATTGTAGGTCAGCGGGTGTTGAAGAAAAAGGTTCGGGAACTAACACATCCATCCAAAACTTCTATGTATCCACCGCTGGTGAAGTACAAGTAAAAGAGGGGAGTTAAGAAGAGTAGAAAGGGTCAAGAGAATGACGTGCATCGTGATCCTAGTCCATGGGAGTATACTGAGGGGTTGTATGTGAGTTAGACTATAAAGAGATTATGCATAAAACCAATTGGAAGTCAATTGTCAAGTATGTTGATTGGTAGTCAACCGTCAAGTATGATGATTGGTAGTCAACCGTTTTCCGAATCTTCAAGACATGTTTACTTGTCACAATTTCTTGCTTCCTTACATCCATACAATGATGACATTATTGATGTTGGTGAAGATGGAAATTTTGGTTTCCGTTCTATTGCAGTTCAACTTGGATATGGCGGAGAGTCGTGTCCTTTGATACGAACGCATTTAGATGCTCAAGTTCATCAAAACTCTCAATTGTTTTCTAAGTTGTTCTATGACAATGTCTCTATAGTTAGGAATGGGTTACGAGTAGACCACTTAGGTGTGCAGGGTATCGATAAATGGATATTGATTCCTGATATGGGTTTCCCAATTGCATCTAGATACAGTGTCATACTTGTCTCCCTTTCCAAGAGACTTAATATCACATTTTTTCCTCTTAGCTTAGCTCCACCTATGTATACGATCAGGCATAAAATCATAGTTGTTGGTTTTGTCAACAATAATCATTGGGTTTAGGTAAAGTTAAAACCAGATAACCCATTCCAAAATTCAGGTAATTTCTATCTTGGCTTAATTGCAACTTTTGTCCCTCTATTTTGTATTTTTTTTGATTTTGGTCCCCCCATTTTAAAAACCATGATTTTGGTCCCCTTTTGAGTTTTCTATTGAAAAATAAACAAAAATAGGGACTAAAGTTGTAGAAAAAAGCAAAATAGGGGGACGGAAATTGTACAGAAAACTTAAAAAATGGACTAAAATAGTGGTTTTTAAAATGGAGGGACCAAAATAAATAAAAAATACAAAATAGAGGGACCAAAGTTACAATTAAGTCTTCTATCTTTTAATCCAAAATTTGAAATTTCCATTCATTTATCGTCTATCACGGTAAAAAATGGAAAGTTATGGAAAATTTATGGTAATCTAATAAAATTTCTGATAACAAACTATATTTTTCAAATTTTCCGATATTTAAAAGAGGGTATTAACGTAAAGGCACTAGAAAATGGGGAGTGTCAATATCAACTATGGGAGTGGTAAGTTAATTTCTCATCGTCTAATGAACAAGCGAAAATTGGATTTTGTATTTGTAATACCCCACACCTTTTTACTATAAGAAGCTAAGCTTAAGTAAAATAAAATGCCAAAAGCTCCAATAGAAATAATTTTTTTTTGTTTAAATATTCAATCTGAAATTAACATCTTCATAAAGTTTGGATGATTTCAATAACCCTGAAATTAAAAAAAAAAAAATTTTTATATGAAATAGTGTAATGGAGAACAAATTTTTATTGTTAAGCTTTGACTAAAAGTATTTACAACTGACTTAAAATTTTCTACTAGATTAAATGTCAAGATGGGAAAAAGAAAGAAAATGCATAAATAGAATTGGAGTGTGAAATGAGTGGGAAAAATAAGAATTCTCATGGATGTTCAACTACAAGGGCCTCTAAAAAGAGATGGTGTTTGTTTAAACTTAGAGCGAAGTTGTGCAAGGTGATGGATTATGAGGGAGAGCATTCACATTAGACCAAGAGCAATCACACATGTGAGAGAGACATCGCATATTCACCCAAAACCTTACAACATTGAGTATATGGATCCTCTCATTTATAAAGGGTTCAACCTCCACTTTTTCAATA